ACAGATCTGTATCTGTAGAGGGAAACTGTATCCGTGAGGAAAACCTCAAGTGGTCTCCCTCTGCTCCCTGGGCCTAATGTTCCATTCACGCAATTGGCAAATATTCAGAGTGGTCAGTTCAATGACCAAGGTCATAGAAATATTTTTTATAACTTTTCCAACCACCGCCCACAACCTAAAAAAAACAGATTATAACCTGTTTGTGCTAAATCTCTCATCAATGTTAGATTAGGTAACTAGAAACCTCAAATGCCTCAACAATTAATTTCTAACCTTGAGAGAACACTTAAAAAGCAGGAATTGAAGCTATTATATCCTAATAGCTTTGTCAATCTTAGAGTCTCAATACCAATGTACCCATACCAGAGAAAATTCTACTTATAGATCCCTGATGAGAAAAACATGGATAACCTGCACTATAAATATGGTAGGAAGAAAACAATCTATTGTCTGGGAACTCCTTAAATCCTGCTACATAAGTGCTTAAGAAGTTAACTATCCAGCCGTTTCTCTGCATCGTAAAGGGCTCACTATACAGATAAAAAAGGCAACTCTACCTTCTATCAGAAACCAATTCTGAGCCACATCTCAGCATCAGATTCCCAGGCCACCCAGGTCTCATTTTCCACACTAATCTGGATTCAAAAGAAGTTCTCTGAAAGAGAGTTAATAGTTTACTGCCTATGATCTCTTTATATATACATGGAGTTAAAAATCTAGGTAAAGGAAATGGATTAAACAGCAAAAAGCAGAGTAAGCTTCAACCAGGGCTTATTTTTAAAAGTGATTCATTCTAACCCCTGCACCATTTTGTATCCAAAATGGTGTCAAAGAACAAACACATGACTTACTTTGAAGTTAACTGCCCTCTTTAAACAGAGTTGCCATAATTGTTAGTGATGAAAAAAATAAAAATTTATTATCTTTACCATAATATCCAGCAATTGCATTGCTGGGAATTTACCCAACTGATCTTAAAAACTTATGTCCACATAAAACCTGCACACAAATGTTTCTAGCAGTTTTACGCACAATCACCAAAAGTGGGAAGCAACCAAGATACCCTTCAATAGGTAAATGAATAAACCAGCTTTGATACATCCTTACTAATGGAATATTATTCAGAAAAATGAACTATCAAGCAACAAAAAGAATGGGCAAATCTTAAATGACACTGCTAAGCAAAAGAAGTCGGTCTGGGGCCTCCCTGGTGGCACAAGGGGTTAAGACGCAACCTATGAAGCTGTCCTCAGCCTCTGCAGCACGAGTTGGATCCCAGGCTGGACAGGGAGCTACCCACATGGCGCAGTAGACCTCTCTTGACTTGCCCACTGCTCCTCTCAGCAGTGTATTTCAGTCAATATGCCTGTTCTGCTCCCCACTCTGTTTGGTGAATCCTCTCACCCCCTGCACCTCTGGCCTGCACCCCAGCTCTTGTATGCATAAATCAATCTTTTAAAAAAATAAATAAATAAAAGAAGTTGGTCTGAAATCTGTGTGATTTTAATTATATAATATTCTGGAAAATGCAAATGGACTGTGGTAGAGGTCATGGAGGGGGAGAGGCAGAGGGGATTAAACATAGGTTCTGTATAACACTGTGGTGAGGGATACAAAATGCTGGATTTTTTTTAAATGGTAGAACTTTAGACCAGCATGAGCCTTAATGCATGCAAATTTTTTTAAAAATCACTGAGCAGATTGGAGGATGAAATGCAGAGTATAACAAAACAATCTGTGACAAATGTATGAAGAGAGTGAGTGAAGCGGGTGAGGGGAGGTGTTACTGATTCTGACGCTGCTCGACTCATACAGGAATTGAATAATTTAAGTCAATGAATGACAGATGGTAGGAGACAGGCTTCTCACTGTTCGATGAGAGATTGCAATAGGAAAAAGGGGAGGGGGCTCCCTGGTGGTGCAGGGGTTAAAGTCTCCGCACTATCAAGCTATCACCAGCCACTGTGGCAAGAGTTTGATCCCCACCAGGGCGCTAAGCCACATGGCGCAGCAGACCTCTCCTGTCTCGCCGCTGCTCCCCTCAGCAGTGTATTTCATTCAATCTGCCTGTTCTGTTCCCCGCTCTGTCTCTGGTGGATCCTCTCCCCACCTACATACACCTCTGACCTATACCCCCAGTTCTTGTATGCATAACTAAATAAAAATAAATCTTAAAAATAAAAGAGAGCGAGAAGGGAGATAGAATGATCCATGGGACAATGGATAAGAGCTGGAGACATGAGTATGAATTAGTTTCATATAGTTACACAAAGAAATGTTTACAGATGTGTTCACATACATTGATTTGTTTTTTTTTTTTTTTTTAGAGGCATGTTTTATTTATTTGTTTGTTTATACATGCACTGGGTACAGTCAGAAGCACGGGAGGGTGAGAGAATTCACCAGAGCCAGAGCGGGGAGCAGAGCAGGCAGAAGGACCGAAGTACACTGCTGAGGGGAGCAGCGGGCGGCAGGAGAGGTCTGCGCGCCATGTGGGACCCTCCTCTGGTGGCCGGGGAGCAGCCGGGGATCGAACCAGCGCCACAGAGGCTGCGGGCAGCTTCGCAACCCAGCACTCAACCGCTGCGCCACAGGGGAGGCCCCACATACATTGATTTGTATACACATATGTACTCCCCTGCTTTGCCAGCTGGAAAGCTACCCAGCAGCCCCTTGGTTCCTAATACCATTCCGCAACAAATGGCAACAGGATTCCTTGAAGACAGAGGCAAGGCTAATTCTAGGGTTGGGGCAGGAAATACAGAAGATATGCCTAGAGCATCTTGTAGCACCAGAAAAGGCAGTATTAGCGGGGGAAAAACCCACAATGTGGGTCATGTCAAAGGAACACAGTAGCCAACTGCCAAGCTGAAATACTTTGGGCATCAAAATTATACAGTATTGATTTATAGTCCAGAGTATAAATACCTGTAATAAAGAGCGATTTCAAAATGACTAAATACATAAATGGGGGAGAAAAGACAAATCTCTGGTACAGAAGAATTCCAAATAATTTGTTTTTTGTTTTTTTAAAGATTTTATTTATACAAGAACTGGGGTACAGGTCAGAGGCGCAGGAGGGTGAGAGAATTCACCAGAGACAGAGCGGGGAGCAGAACAGTAGACGGAATGAAGACACTGCTGAGGGGAGCATCCGGCGAGGCAGGAGAAGTCTGCCGCACCATGTGGATTTCTCCCTGGACAGCCAGGAATCGAACCGGCGCTACAGAGGCTGCGGACAGCTTCACAGCGCGACGCTCAAACCACTGCGCCACCGGAGAGGCCCCATCCAAATAATTTGTGTAAATACTCTGTCTTCCAGGACAGAGTACCTAACTTTCTCCCTCTTAGGTGTTGGCTATACACAATGACTACCTTCCAAAGAGCACAGCACAAAAAGGGGTAATAGAGAATTTTACACAGGAGAAATCGGACATATACTACCTCAGCCAGTTGATGATGGCCAACAACAAAAGTCACAAATCATATTGATAGCACATACCCTTAATATGATGTAACGAAAATAACACTTTATCTCTATGGTCTTTCTCCCCCAAACATAAAACCCCAGTCCAACCATAAGAAAAACATCAAATACCATTTGAGGGATATTCTAACAAAGTGCCTGACCAATATTCATTAAAACGATCTAAGTCATTGGGCCTCCCCGGTGGCACAGCAGGTTGAACACAGTGCTGTGAAGCTGTCCACAGCCTCCGCAGCACCGGTTCGATTCCCGGCTGGCCGGGGAGAATCCCACATGGTAAAGCAGACCTCTCCTGCCTCGCCTGCTGCTCCCTTCAGCAGTGCTTTCTGTCCATCTGCCTGTTCTGCTCCCCGGCTCTGTCTCTGGTGAATATTCTCACCCTCCCACAACTCTGACCTGTACCTCAGCTGTTGTATAAATAAAAATAAATCTTTAAAAAAAAAAAAAAAAAAAACTAACTCATCAAAAACAAAGACAGTCTGAGAAACTCGCTGAGCAAGAGGAGACATGTCTACTAAACGTAATGCAGTATGTGGCCAGGAGTCTGTAACAGGATATTATATGAGGTAAAAACTAAAGCAATCTGAATAAAATTTAATGAATAATAATGAAGCACCACTATTTCATAAATTATAACAAACAGTCCATACTAACATAAGACATTAATAAAAGAGGGAAATACATAGAAAAATAATGCAAATTGCTAATGGTTATCTCCAAGTGCATAGATAGATTATAAACTGAATATATGAACTTAAACAAGAGAATAAAAGCAGAAAAGATTAAAGACTAAATGGAAAAGAGCCACTTTCTATCCAAGCATTGTATAGGACATAAAAAAAGTAATAATGCAATTTTAGTCTCAAGTTTTCAATCTTTCTTCAATCTGTCAATTCAGAGTTAGTGGGATCTGGGATCTCCAAAAGGAAAGTGCCTTGAAATACAGTCACTCAATTTTCGAAATTTTAACAGTGTATTAACTACAGTTCTATAATGAACAAATGGCATTCAACAAACTACTAGGACCAAACAAGGCATCATTTTCAAAGCCAGTGCATGAGCTCCTTGATGTGTCAGTAGAGACAGTGAGTAGGCAAACTCTAAATCGTCAGTCTATCAGAACTCCACCACCACAGCAAGGTCTAGCCCTCTGTGGGTGGGAGCCAAATTGCAAGAAAAGTTATCAAGATCCAACTCAGCCACAAGTATCACCAATGGTTACCAGATTAAAAACAATGCCACTTTTGTCTATAACTGACTTTTCCTCAAGGAAGGCAAGTGGTGGGAGAGGGCAGGGAGCTGGTTCAAGACTCTTAACAGTTCATTTCCTTTCCCTTAATATTGTGTGAGAATAGTCACTGGAAGAAGAGAACCAGGCAATTTTTCTGTGACGCTCTGCCAGCATCCTTTTTTATTAGGAGAATAAAGGACCTGTTTATAAAGCAGCAATGGAGAGGGGCTCATAGCACTGAAACACAAGGTTACAACAAAATCATCAACTTGAGCTACTTACAAGAGTTGTGCCGACGACGGAAACTTTTAGACTGACTCAAGGATTCCACGTGCCTGTCCACATAGCTCTTTGAGCACTGCTGCTGCTGTGGGGAAATGGCAACGTCTTGGCTCTTCACATCTGTCCTCTTAGGGATATTCTGAGGGGCACTGCTGGTAGAGGTTGGCTTCTTGACCAATTTGCCCGTGCCATTCTGACTGATGCCCACTTGGAAGCCGATACCAGAGGGAGCTAACCCCGCCTGGTGAAGATCTCCACAACGCTGGCTATCTCCAGGACAAGGGATCTCCAGAATTTTTAACTCTGTAATGTCACCTGCCCTGAAACACGCAAAAAAAGAGTCCACATCACAACACTGCAACAGGGACTCACAGTGATGAAACTGGAACCAGCAACAACCAGCTACACCTTTGCAGGGCTGCACATCACTAAGATATTAAGGCAAAAGCTAGGCAAGGTGGGAGAGCACTTTCAGTTCACCACAACATTAAACTGGCACAGCGCTGGCTTTTAAAGAGATCTATTGTTCATCATAAAACTATCGTTAGCATCTTAGATTTCCAGAATGCTCAATAGCTTTTTAAAAAATTCCTCCCTCACTCCCTCCCTCCCTTGTTCTTTAAATAGGCACAGAGTACTAACTATGTGGTAAGCCCTGGGCTTAGGAATGGGGTCTATAGAAGTGAGAAACAATACATGCCAACAAGGAACTCCCACTCTGGTCAACAGAAAAGTAGACCATCCAAAGGATTACACACACTGACAGAGGTGAATTCTGGGAACTAGAAAGTCTGAAAGCAAAATATCTAAGTTTGGCAAAGATGGATAAGATACTGAAGATAGGTGTGAGTGGGGAGGAAGAATAATAGTCAAGCAGAGAATAGAAGGGAGAAGAGCATTTCAAGCCAAAGCTTAGGAATTGAGAAATATGGCCCACTTGAGGAAATGCAAATGTCGTGGTGATGCCAAAGGGAAGGATGCTTGAGGAGAGTCATCGGGAGGTAATCAGGGACAACAGCAGCTGCCATAATCATTGAATTTTTCTGGCGGCTGTAGGGAAAGTGGAGAAACTTAGAGGCAAGAGCACCAATTAAGAGACCAGACAAGAAATAAGGGGGATGAAGAGGCTGAATGACCATGCAGAGGGAGGAGAATGAAACCAAGAGAACTTTGTACTCCACAAGACTTGCTGACTAACCGAACATGAAGATAAAAGGAGAATTTACCGCAATTCCTAAGCCCCTAACTTAGATGAAAGTTATCATTAGTCACCAATTAAAGGCAAATCTTTGTAAGAAGAAATCTGCAAGTAATAAAATAAGTTCGGCTTTGAAAAACTTAAGTTTAAGGGGCCTCCCCGGTGGCGCAGCAGGTTAAGCACACTGCTGTGAAGCTGTCCGCAGACTCTGCAGCGTGAGTTCGATCCCCTACCAGCCAGGGAGATACCCACATGGTGCGGCAGACCTCTCCTGCCTCACCTTCTGCTCCCCTCAGTAGTATTTTTGGTCCATCTGCCTATTCTGCTCCCCACTCTGTCTCTGGTGAATCCTCTCACCCTCCCGCACTTCTGGCCTGTACCCCAGTTCTTGTATAAATAAATAAATCTTTAAAAAATAATAATTAGGGTCTCCCCGGTGGCACAGCGGTTGAGCGCTGGGTTGCAAAGCTGCCCACAGCCTCTGCAGTGCCAGTTCGATCCCCGGCCACCGGGTGAGGGTCCCACATGGCGTGCAGACCTCTCCTGCCACCCGCTGCTCCTCTCAGCAGTGTACTTTGTCAGTCTGCCTGCTCTGCTCTCTGCTCTGACTCTGGTGAATTCTCTCACCCTCCCACGCTTCTGACTGTACCCAGCGCTTGTATAAATAAATAAATCTTTTTTAAAAATTAATAATTAAAAAAAATGAAAACCTTAAGTTTAAGATATTTTATGAGATATCCAATGAAAAATGACCAGTAGACAATTAAAATAGTGCCTAGAGAATTCAAATAGTGTCTGGAGCTTAGTTAATGGGTCTAAATTAAAGATCTGGGGTGGCATTAACATACAAAAAGGTACACATGAGATTTGACTAGAGAGAGCAGACTGAGAAAAGGATCAAAGACAGAACTCTGATTAACCTTGAGAAATGAGTGGGGAAAAAGGAGCCGATGGGAGGAGATGGGAGGGGAGAAGGGAAAGAAATGGAGGAATACAGTAAAAGCAAATCCAAATGGGGTGACAGAAAAACTAAAAGAAAAGGGGATTTCAAAAGTTAGGGAACAAATGAATGTGATCAGAATTGAGACAATGCCGCTGAATGTAGCAATTAGGTCATTGTTATCCTTGGTTAAGAGCTTATTCAGCAAAATGGTAAAGTGGGGAGGGGGAGTTAAAGGTAAGATAAGGAGGGACTAAAAATGAGGCCATAAAGAGAAAGAAGGCAGACTATTTTGCTCTGAAAACAACTTTGGGTATAAAAGGAAAGGACAGGCAACAACTAGCAGCCACTGCCAGGGGTGGGGGTGGAGGTGAGGGGAGTGTATCACCATGGGGGCAGCCAGAGGATATTGGAATGCAAAGAGAAAAAGGCATAAAGAGTGAAACTGAAGACACAAAAGCAGTGTAGGAGGGTCTCAAAGGCTATAAAAAGGATAGCACATAAAGCATACCTGGTGGGTAGTCCCAAACTCACAGACTTCAGAGGAGGTAAGAAAAACAAACAGTAAACCCACAGAAAAAGTCACGTGTGAGCACTGTTAACAAATTCAAGAAAGTTCTTGACCAACACTATCTGGTTGTTTTTTTCTTAAACACAGAAAGGGAGGATGTCTGCCAAGGGTGAGAAAACAGCTGAACCTGAGATCTGAGGGTAAACATAAAGAAAAATACATTTCTCTAAAGCCTTCAGCCTCTGGATACAGTGTGCTTGTGGAGGTAAACGATGGTATGAAGCTACAAAGAGAGACATATTTGTGCAGAGAAATCAGGAAGGGCTTAGCTGTGAGACGGCACACACACCACTGAGGAAGAGAACTGAAAACCAGAGAAAAAAAGATTATTCTGAATTTGACATTACGATAAAAAAAATATTGTGTGCTTGACAGAGACAAGAAAAATATTTCACAAACCCTAATTATGACAAAGTCTAAGCTGAAACAACTCTTGGACTGTAAGGTCTGAGACTAAAATCTCACCCATGACAAGACCACTCAAAAGCAGCTCTAAGGAAGAGAATATTGATAATCAGAACTAAATTCAGGGCCTCCCTGGTGGTGCAGGGGTTAAAGACACAGCGCTGTCAAGCTATTACCAGCCACAGCAGCACAGATCTCCATGCCTGGCCAGCCCCTGGCCAGGGGGAACAACCCACAAGGTGCAGCAGACCTCTCCTGTCTCACCCGCTGCTCCCCTCAGCAGTGTATTTCAGCAGATCTGCCTGTTCTGCTCTCTCTGTTTCTGCCTCTCTTTGGTGAATCCTCTCAACACACCCACCTCTGGTCTACATCCCAGTTCTTATATGCATAAATAAATAAATCTTAAAAAAAAAAAAAAAGAACTAAATTCAAATTCCAAAGACCACCAGATTAAATTGGGCAAAATCAGGATACTCACCTGAAGGTGACTTCTGGCACGAGGCATTTCACTCCATTGTGGAATGGCTGGGTGAGAGAAATGGTCTGGCTCACCTGATCCACTGCTGAAACTCTTCCCTGATAGACACCCAAGCTATCTCCACAGTTGATGGACACAATACTCCCCAGCCAATCAGCGGCCATTTTTCAGATGTGACACTACCGTAGAGAGAAGGAACCACGCAATGTACCTTAAAAAAGACACAGCTTTACTTAAATCCAGTAGCTAGTGAGTCAGGCTCTATACTGATGCTGCTTAATGATACATACTCTAACATATTCTTAACTGAGGCATTACAACAAAAAACCCTGTTTTTTTTTCAGGAGTATGCATATTAACAGTAAGCAATATCATATAAAGATCTTATAACTAAAGTATAAGAATTGGACAAACATAATATTAAGCTATAAATCAAATCATACAAAAACTATAACCTGTTTACAACCTATTATGTTTTAATATATCTGCCATCACAATATTTTCAGACTATATTATAAAGAAATAATATATTAAAAAAATGGCTGCTGGGCCTCCCCTAGTGGCGCAGCGGTTGAGCGCTGGGTTGTGAAGCTGCCTGCAGCCTCTGCAGTGCCGGTTCGATCCCCGGCCACTGGCAAGGGTCTCACATGGTGCGACAGACCTCTCCTGCTGCTCCCCTCAGCAGTGTATTTCGTCAGTCTGCCTGTTCTGTTCCCTGCTCTGGCTCTGGTGAATTCTCTCACCCTCCAGCATTTCTGACTGTACCCAGTGCTTGTATAAATAAATAAATCTTTTTTTTAAAAAAAAAGGCTGTTGTATCAGGTAAATCCTTACTGTTAATAATGATAAACTGTGGACAAAAAACATTTTTTAAAGCTGAAGGCATTATATAAAGCTACGTATAATCATAAACAGTGCTGTAAATCAGTGTTACCTTAATAAAAAAAAAAAAAAAGATGAACTAAACATGAGCATGTTATAGAAAACTAGTAACTACAGAATATACTTTTCCAAATTCACACAGAATATTCACCAACAGCAGCTGGGCCTCAGCTATCAACAGTATCAAAACATTTCAAAACATTTTAAAGGACTGAAATAAGAGTGTATTTTTTGTCTCTATCCTGTTGATTGAAGAAATCAAATAGGAAATTAAAAAATAACAAAACTCAATGATAATGAAAACATATAACATTTGTTGGTTGTACTTAGAACAGTGCTTCAAGGGAAATTTACACCTTGAAATACTTTTATTAGATAAGAAAGAAGGTGGGGCCTCCCTGGTGGTGCAAGGGGTAAAGCACCGCAGTAGGAAGCAGTCTGCAGCCTCTGCAGCATGAGTTTGATCCCCGGTCGGCCAGGGAGCAACCCATGTGGCATAGCAGACCTCTCCTGTCTCACCCGCTGCTCCCCTCAGCAATGTATTTCAGTCAGTCTGCCTGTTCTGTTCCCCACTCTGTCTCTGGTGAAGCCTCTCACACCCCTGCATCTCTAGCCTGTACCCTGGCTCTTGTATGAATAAATAAATAACTCTTAAAAGAAAAGGAAAAAAAAGAGAGAAGGTTTAAAAAAACCAATGATTGAAACTTTCATCTGAAGAAGCTAGGAAAAAAAAGCAAATTAACCCAAGGCTATTAGAAATGAAAAAAGAGTAGAAATCAATGAAATAATAATAATAAATGAAAAATGAATTTTTTTAAATGTTAATAAAGTTGATTAATCCCTAATTAGACTAGTCAAGAGATATAAAACATACTGCAGATATTAGGAATGAACAAGAGGAAATCACAGGCATTAAAGAGATAAATTTGGGCCTCCCTGGTGGTGCAGGGGGATAAGTCTCAGCACTATCAAGGTATAGGCAGCCACATAGCACAAGTTTGATCTCCGGCCAGGGAGCTGACCCACATGGCACAGTAGACCTCTCCTGTCTCGCCTGCTGCTCCCCTCAGCAGTGTATTTTAGTTGATTCGCCTGTTCTGCTCCCCACTCCATCTCTGGTAAATCCTCTCACTCCCGCACCTCTGGCCTAGACCCCAATTTTTGTATGCATAAATAAGTAAAATAAATCTTTTAAAAAATAATGTTAAGGGGCCTCCCCGGTGGCGCAGCAGTAGAGCGCTGGGTTGCAAAGCTGCCCACAGTCGCTGCAGCGCCGGTTCGATCCCCGGCCACCGGGCAAGTGTCCTACATGGCGTGCAGACCTCTCTGCCACCTGCTGCTCCCCTCAGCAGTGTACTTCGTCAGTCTGCCTGCTCTGCTCCCCGCTCTGGTGAATTCTCTCACCATCCCGCGCTTCTGACTGTACCCAGTGCTTGTATAAATAAAAAATAAAGTTAAAACATACAGTATTTGTATGCTGAAAACTAGTTGATATTTATGAAACAACCAAGATATAAACAGAGAAACATACAATGTTCATGGACTGAAACACATAACATAGTATATGTCAGTTCTCTCCAAATGAGTATACAGAACTAATACAAAAAATCCCAGATTTTTGGTTAAAACAGACAAGGTTATCCTAAGATTTATATACATGAAAAGCAAAGGAACTAGAAGAGTGAAATAAAAAAAAATTTAAAGATTTATTTTGTAGAAGAACTGGGGCATATGCCAGAGGTGTGGAGGGTTAGAGGATTCACCAGAGACAGAGTGGGGAGCAGAACAGGCAAATCGACTGAAATACACTGCTGAGGGGAGCAGCTGGCAAGACAGGAGAGGCCTGCTGCACCATGTGGGTAGCTCCCTGGCTGGGGATCGAACTCAGGCCATGGCAGTGAGAGCGCTGAAACTTAACCCCTAGGCCACCAGAGAGGGCCTAGACATGACGAATCTGTTTAACCAACTTTAAGACTTGTTATATTGATACTATAGTCAAGATTGTGGTAATGGTGAAAGGATACATAAATCAATGGAAAAGAACAGAAATAGAACCACCCAAATAGAACCGCCCAACTGAATTTCGATAGAGTTGAAAAAGCAACTCAAGAGCGGCAACATAACTTTTATAATAAGTAGTGCTGGAGTCAAGATCAACCCCGAAGACATTATCTAAGTGAAGTAAGTCAGAAATTAAGGAACAAGTATCTTATATCACTCCATTGTGTGAGGTTCCTGGAGTAGTCAAATTCAGAGAGGCAGAATGGTGGTTGCTACGATCTGGGGGTGGAGGGCAGAGAACTGGAGTCATTATTCAATGGGTACAGAGTTTCAGTTTGAAATGATGAAAATATTCTGGAGATGGATGGTGGTGATGGTTTCACAATAATATGAATATATGCCACTGAGCAAGCATTTAAAAATGGTAATTTTTCTGTATATTTTACCACAATAAAAATATCATCCTAATGGAAAAACCAAAACTCCCTACCTAACATTTCTGTTAATGTAAGATGATACATCTACTTTGGAAAACTGTTTGGGAGTTTCTTACATAATACTGAACACATTCATGACCCAAAATTTTATTAGTAGGATTTACTCAGAGAAACAAAAATATATATCCACAAAAAGACTTTTATACAAATATACATAGCAGCTTTGTTCACAGAGGCAAAGACTAGAAATGAGAAGAGATAAAGAAAAGTAAGAGTTAATTATACAACAGAAAACTACTACAACAATAACAAGAAAAAAAAACACGCTACAAAGTAGATGGTTCTCAAAGCTAAGAGTGAAAGAAGTCGCACGTGTTAAGAGGCACATCTTATACAAACCTAGATATGAAAGTTTCCACAAGAAGCAAAACCACTTCACAGCAAGACAAATCAGAAGTGATGGCCTTTAGGGTGAAAGAACTGACTGGAAAGGGGCGCAGGGTACACTCATGGTGTAATGGAAATAAATGTTCTACATTTTTACTGATGCAGTAGCTGCACAGATGTACACATTTACCAAAACTCACCGGACCCTTAACATCTGTGTGTTTTTTTTTGCATGTAAACTATAGCTCTATCAAAAAAGGAGGAAAAAAATATGTAGCCAACATAATAACCACTACATAACACCACAGAACATTTAGCCATTCCTCCAAAATGCAAAAATTTAATTCCTTAGCAAAGTTTTCCTCAAAACATAAAATGAAAACTCACATACAGGACAGATCCTAGGAAAATGTCTATTAAGACATTCATAAATATCCAAAAGAAATTCCTGATTTCTCCAGCCACACATTCGACATCCCCCAACTTGCTCTTTTCCATGTCTTTCCTGTCTCAACAAACGACATCAAAAGTCGCCAAGTTGCTGAGGCCAAACAAAGGGGGACCGCTTCTTGGTTCCTGTCTCTCATCCCATCCATTCAACCCATCAGAAATTCCTACTATCACATCTCAAAATAAGTCCATTTCTCTTCATCTCCACTAATGACCTTTCCAGTCCAAGCCGCCATCCTCTCATCATTGCAGGAAGTTTCCTAGCCAGTCCTGCTTCTACTCCTGTGCCTTCTTCAAGTCTTTCTCTACACAGCAGCCAGAGCAAACTTCAAAACATAAAGCACTTATGCTCCTGCTTAACAGCTATACTTATAATTAAGTCCAACTTCCTCTTCAAGGACTATAAGCCCTACATGATCTGATTCTAGTTTCTACAACTTCCTTTCTCACCACGACCTTGCCGCTATTCTCCAGACAGGCTGGACTTTATATTGTTCCTCAAACATACGAAGTTTGTTCCCTCCAAAATTCTGTACCAAGTAATATCAGTTGTTTTCCCCCAGCTCAATGAAGGATTCTTCTACCTTGCTCTACCTTTCTGGTTTGCTAACATGTTACCAACTGAAAGAAGTCTTTCCTGGCTCCCCAATCTAATCAGCTACTCCCAATCACTCTCCAACATCTCACCTGATATGACCACAAAATAAAAACCACACGAATTATTTGTTTCTGCTGTGTGTGTCACCCAACTAAAATGGAGGCTCCAAGAGGGCAAAGAACATTGTCTGTCTTGTCCAATGAGTAACAGTACCTACAATTGAGGAGAAACACAAATATTTATTCAATCAATGAATGAATGAGATACAATAAATCTGCCAGAAATTATCTTTCAAAATCTAGATTATCTTAAAATTTACTTCTAAATGCCTGGGCCCGTCTTGGAAACGGTTCTAAAATTAGAAAATTCTTTAAGCATATGCCATGCAAAGTCCTATAGTCAGGAAATAGCTAGCAGATGTGCATAAATATAGAAAATTAATTACCGGCTTAGTGTTTTCCATGAAAAACAAAACAGAATAGCATTTCAGGTTCTTTTCAAATATTAATTTCGAAATATACCTAAATATAATCTAAAAAGAAAAAGCCAAAAAGGAGCAAAAAACACTGCTGTGGCAGAGTATATATTATCAAAACATAAAAACATAAATAAAGACAAACTCAGTTCTCTGGTGATTCAACTAAGCAAGTATCACAAAGCTATGCTGACAGAAAAGAAAATAAAAGCAACAATGCATTGAACAGTAAGCTCATTCAAGAAACTTTTTTATATTTCGTAAGAGAAAATCCCAAACATAAACAAATGCAGGGAGAATAGCAAAACCAACCCACACACCCACTGAGTTGCAAAATTATCCATACATCTCCAAGAATTTAAGACACCATTTAATTTCCAAAAGCAACACCAATTCTACAACACTGATGATGATAAAAAGTCACAAAATACACAAGTTTTAAAAGTGGCTTGCTACTGGTTAAGTATTTTTAAAATTTTGTTCTTATTAATGAACGTTAAAACAAGTAATCACTCAATGTGCAACAAACTGCCCTTTCTTTCTATGACCAGAAACTTTCCTCTACGTAAGATACAACATTAATGTGTTATTTAAAATTCAACAAACGGCCTCCCCTGGTGGCGCAGCAGTTGAGCGCTGGGCTGTGAAGCTGCCTGCAGCCTTTGCAGCACAGGTTCAATCCCTGGATGCCAGCAAGGGTCCCACATGGCACGCAGACCTCTCCTGCCTCGCCCACTGCTCCCCTCAGCAGTGTACTTTGTCAGTCTGCCTGTTCTATTCCCCGCTCTGGCTCTGGTGAATTCTCTTACCCACCCATGCTTCTGACTGTACCCAGTGCTTGTATAAATAAATAAATCTTTTTTTTTAAATAAATAAATAAAATTCAACAAACAGGTTATTCCCTAAAGAAAAATCCTTCACTGACTGAAAACAGTCAGCAGATGAACAAACAAAAGAAGGAGGACTTAGGTATAGGACTAACACCTTAATGTCAAAAGAAGAGCTACAGCTCAAACAGAAGATGGAGGAGGTACAAGGGGACCAAACTGAGGTCTTTCATATTCTGGTTTCCTATCAAGGTATATAATATATATACCATAAGGCTACACAGTCTGTTCAATTCAGTGAAATTTTACATATTAATTGACCCATATAACCATCGCTTAAATCAAGACAGAATATTCGGGGCCTCCCCGGTGGCGCAGCGGTTGAGCTCTGGGTTGCGAAGCTGCCTGCAGCCTCGGCAGCACCGGTTCGATCCCCGGCTGCTCCCCGGCCACTGGAGGAGGGTCCCACATGGCACGCAGACCTCTCCTGCAGCCCGCTGCTCCCCTCAGCAGTGTACTTCGTCAGTCTGCCTGTTCTGCTCCCCGCTCTGGTTCTGGTGAATTCTCTCACCCTCCCGCGCTTCTGACTGTACCCAGTGCATGTATAAACAAACAAACAAACAAACAAATAAATAAAACATGCCTCTATAAAAAAAAAAAAAAAAAATTAAAAAAAAAAAAAAAAAAAAGAATATTTGGAATACTCCAGAAGGTTCTACTGTGTTCCGAGAAGGTAACCACTATTCTGGTATCTACCATAAAGTAGGGAATCATAAAAGTTCCCTTAAAGGAGTCTCCCTTGTGGCTCAGGGGTTAAGTCTCAGCACTATTGAGCTATTACACTATCAAGTACTATCAAGTCTCAGCACTATCAAGCCATTGTAGCCATGAGTTCGATCCCCAGGCAGGGAGCTACCCACATGGCGCAGCAGACCTCTCCTGTCTCGCCTACTGCTTCCCTCAGCAGTGCTCTTCAGTAGATCTGCCTGTTCTGCTCCCCACTCTGTCTCTGGTGAATCCTCTCAACCCTGCACCTCTGGCCTAGACCCCAATTCTTATATGTATATACAAATAAAATAAATCTTTTTGAAAAAAAGTTCCCCTAAAGTGTTTGGTTTCTTTTGCTCAACATTACATCTGTGAGATTCACCCTTGTTGCATGTGTCAACAGTTCATTCTTTCCCATGTAGTATTCTATAAGTAATACTTTTTATTCATTCTGCTATTGATAGACAGATGGATTATTTCCAGTTTGGAGGCTACTATGAATAAATAATAAAACATTTTGTATATAACTTTATGGTGGACAAAAGTACCCATTTATGCCATCATATGATATAGGAAATCATAGACTAGATATGGCACTATTTTGTTCAAATGTAGAACGATCAGTTTTTCCAGATTATTTAACATCATGCTAAGTATGGAAATTTATTGTTTCATTTCTCTTGTACGAAGCTTTTAGATAACAAATTCTGGTAGACCTAAATGATTTTCGACCATTATGTAACAATGGCAGTTGCCAAAATAATCCATGAACTACAAATAAACTAATTACAGACCTACCAAATTTCATCTCATCTGCTACACCAGACAGAACCCACAGCAATCAGATCCAAGGAGCAGCCCCTTCTGCTAAGGACAATTGTAACCAATGGCTGTAAATGAGTGAGAAGTTTAGTTATGGATTTCTGAAAAAACAACCTATCTTTTCATGCACCTATCTGGGAAAGTTTTTGTAAAATTAAAATCTTGGGAAAAGCAGAGTTCTCAAAAGACAACATCTAGTGCCCTAGTACTAATTCCATATCTTCCATAAAAGGTAGCCTAACGGAAAGGACGTGAACCTCAGAAGTCAGTCATCACAGGCCCCCGTTTACCACTCACCAGCACTACATCCTGAACAAATTATCTTAATTGCAGTCTCAACTGTCTCCTCTCCAGAGAGGGAATAATACCGATTGTAACAGCACCTCATAAAATCGTTGTGAAGATTAACTGAGGTAATCTATACAGTTTCTATTACATCACAAATTTTATTTCAAATGTCTCCTATAAGCAGAAAGAATACAGACCAGACAGGGAACTTGAATTACAGCCCTAGAAAATCATAATGGGAAGGCCACAGGCTTTCTCACCTAGGCAAAGCTACAAACATGCCTGAATTACCTCTACACCTTTTCAAAATGAAGTCCAAATCGCTAAACTGGAATTCACACATCCCAGGGATACTCAAAGATATGCCAAACAAGGGCATCAGTTTCCACATTACTCCATCATAAACCTGACCTGCCTAGATAACTGGATTAGCAAGAAAAGATTTCCAACAACATAATTTATTACTTGGGGAGAGAAGTCAGAAAACAGCTCACTGATCGAATGTGGCCCCCTTCCAACAGTTTTATTAGAATACACGCCGTTGTTTACCTATTGTCTCTGGCTGTTTTCCCGTCACAATGAGAGAGCTGAGTAGTTACGCAGAGCACACATGATTCAAAAAGCCTGCCATCTGTCCCTTCACATACAAACTTTGCTGACTCCTGCTTTAGCATAAGATTCTGTGGGAAAAATAGAACAGACATAAAAAAGGGAAAAACATGAAAAGAACAAATTCCCATAATGAATCAAATTACCATAACCAATTCAACAAACAGAACATCTGCATACATCCATATCAAGTAAAGAAACTGAATTAGTAATTAAAAATGTTCCCACCAACAAAAGACCAGACTTCAATGGTAAATTCTAACAAACATGAGAAATAATCAACAACCCTACACAAACACTCAGAAATTGAAGAGGAAGGAACATTTCCCAACTCATTTCAGAAGGGTAGTATTACTCTGATTCAAAGGTCAATGACCTTTCCTTATGATTAAGGAAACCTCAGGCCAATATTCCTGATGCACACACACACAAATTCTTGACAAAATATTAGCAAATTGGATTTAGCAATATATAAAATGTTTTATATACCATGGGGCTCACTCCAGGAACACAGGATTGGTTTAAAACATGAAAAGCAGGCATCCCTGGTGGCTCAACAAGTGACGTCTCAGCAATATGAAGCTATCAGCAGCCACCGCAGCAAGGCTCGACTAGTTCGATCCCCAGCAGGCCAAGGAGCTACCCACATGACACAGAAGACCTCCTGTCTTGCCTGCTGCTCCCCTCAGCACTGTTTCAGTAGATTTGTCTGTTCTGCTCCCCACTCTGTCTCTGGTGAATCCTCTCACCTCCCGCACCTCTAGCCTACACCCCAGTTCTTGCATGCATAAATAAAAAGAAATCTTTTTTAAAATACATGAAAATCAAGTCATGTAATATATGATTTATATATATCCCAGGTTTTTTAAATTAAAAAATGGTATTTGCATATTTTTAAAATATTGTTACTGTACTTCTAAATAGTATTTATAACATCAGAAACTGTATCCTTACTGTTTTAAAACTGAACATATAAACTACTTAAATTTATGATGAAAAATTTCATAGGACAACTTAGAAGTGTGTAAGAAACCTAGATTTCCTAATGTTTTGGACATTCACAAGCAGAAAATGCTTTAACAGCACTGACCCTGAAAATACGTCAAATGACAAAGGGAAAAGAATCACTCAGGCCAAAGCAACTCCACCACATCTTCTGACAGTCAATAAAAAATTATTCTTGAAAAGTAACAAATTTCAACTCCTTTTAACTTCTACCTCAAATTAACGTACTCTAACAGAGTACCCATACCTAAACCTAACCTGCCAGGTGTGAGTAAACCAGTGCTGGTGTCAAAAGAGGCAACCTTTCTCATTCTAGATTTTACTTTCTAAATGCAATCTACGGCAGCAGGTCACATCAGGTCGGTTCACAACTATGCCTCTAAATCAAAAGACTGAGATTCCACATCTTTTTATTAGATGAAGCCCTCCTAAGTCACATCTCTACTTTGGTTAGCTGGTACAACTGAGTTTTTTTGGGCCCATGTAAAATTCCACCTCTCCAGATACAGAAAGTCATGACCCCATCTAGTTTTACCACAATCCAGCAGATTTCCCTATCCCATCCACCAGGTCTTCCGGGAGGCCTCGTGGCGCCACGGTAGCGCGTCTGACTCCATCCACCAGGTCTTCATAAAATTTTGCTAAAATTCTGACACTATCCCTATGGATACTATACTCCTGTTGAGATGTAAAATTTCAGCAGAATTTAGAAGAACTGAAGTAATCCTCCTTCTCTGGCTGATAAACAAAAAAGACAGTATTTTCTGCTTTGCGTTAATTACAGAATCTCAGGAATCACAAGGATCTTAAACATTTTCTAGCCCCATGTTTTTCAAACTACACTTCTTTAGCAGTCAGACTCAGCAGAGTCAACATAGTGAATGGCAACCTTTTTTTAATGAACTAGGAAATGTAAGTGGGTATCATGCATAGAAAGGGTAAACTTGTTTTCTCTGTGCGTCTCTGTGTGCACACTTTGTGCATGCAGAGTGCATAGAGTTATGATGTACGATGTATCTAACTGTGGGTCAGATGTCAAACAACTTTGAGGCACACTTGCTAATCCCACAGCCCTACTCCCACAAGGATGTTCAACAAAAAAATTCTTACCAATGAAAGAGTTACGTTATCTGTAACAGTCTTCACTTCATACAGTGAAACCAACAAATAAGAATTTTGGGTTCAGCATACCTAGCCTGCCATTCACAAATAAGACTAGAATCCATTCAAGGTTTCCAGTTTAAATATTGACCTGCTCTGAGAGTTTCTTATGTCTTGATGGTATGAAGACCTACAGTTGACAGACAACAGACTGAACCCAGTCGTCTGTGGTAGGGAAGACAACAGAAATCCATCGCAGGTTTCCAAGTTCCTCATCTGTAACGAGTACTCCCCCTACCCCTGAAGTGGGAGGTTTACTGACATAACTGACCAAGCAGGGGGACGACTCTGCCTCCCACACAAGACAGCACCCTAATCCCTCAGCAAACCCATTATTGAGAAACTCAATCAATAACAAGGAGTACTGATAACAAGGAACTCAGATTTACACCAACTACTGGAAAGGATCACGGGGAGCCCCCGGATTCTCAGGCTGCCAGACCCCCGTTCGCCTCTGCCCCTCAGCCATCAGTCGTGGACGCGGCATCCGTGCTGCTCCCCGGCACCCCGCTCCGCGCGCGAACGACAACGGAGCCGCCGCAGTCACCACGGGCTCCCCAGGGCCCAGGCCCCGGGGCCTCCCGCCTCCCCCACCGCCCACGCGAGGTACAACTCCGCCACCCTCAGTCTCCCACCTCATACTCCCCCGAGGCGCCCCCCACTCCCTGGCTCCCGCACAGCCCTGCGCCCCCGCGGCGGGAGCCGGCTACCGGAGGGCGCGCAAGGCCTAGCACCCCGAAGCCCACAAGCCGGGCGCCGGCAGCCCCGGGCCCCCTCCCCGGGCGCCCCGCGCCGCCCGGCCCCGCTCCCACCTCCACGCCGGCCGCCGCGGCCGCCTCCGTCCTCCGCGCCAAGCCCACCCGCGGCACAACGCCAGAGCCGCGCGGGGCGCCCCCACACCCACCCCCACGGCCCAGCCGCCGCGCCGTCGCCGGAACCACCCCGCGGGCCCGCGCCGCCGCCTGCGTCACTTCCGGCGCGACGCCTGGGCCGCGGGGTGGGGGGGCCACAGCGCGGGGAGTCTGAGAGCGCGGGGCCCGCGGCCCGTCCCGGCGGCCCCGTGCCTGCTGCGCGGTCGCGCCGCGGCGGGGCCCGGACCTGGCGCCTCCCTGCCCGGAGCCCCGGGGCCGCGGTGCGCTCTCGGCCGCCCTGGACGGGGACTCCCTGCGCCCCCGGAGGGGGTGGGGGGGAGGATACATCGCTGATAGTCGCTGCTCTGGCGCCCAGGGAGTGGGCCGAGCCTGGGATGGGTAAAGGAAGCAAAACTCCTCGGGTGGCTTTGTTACGGAGCAGCCCCGATATAAAACGGGGTGCCTGGCTGTGGGTCCTCGCCCGCGCGCTTAAAAGGGGCTTAATACTCCGCTGTAGGCACACGCAAAAGGTTAATAAGAGGTTTATTTACAAGGGAAGGGGAAATGAGGAATGTACAACTCAGGGAGAAAATAGGGAAATAAAGCCTTTAATGCGTCCTACCCGATCCGCCGACCTGGAAACCCAAAGGCACTCTCAGAGCTGGCCGATGCTGCGAGCTGGCGGACAGCCAAAAAGGGAACCCCCACCCCCGCCCCCACCCCAAGCCCACGTGTCTGGTTTTGTACCAAACCTGGCTGCTTAACCCCACCCTCAGGTCCCAGCCACCTTCCCTTTGGTGGTGATGGGATTTGTCTTTCCCAATGTCCTGATGGCTTTGGTCTGGAGTGGGGGGTGGAGTCCACAAAGCCTGTATGGAATTAGCTCTAGCAGCTTCAGATCAAGCCAGTTTGGGATCCGGGTGGGCCCAGCAGCCCTCCCCCTTGTAGGCACAGACTCTCCACCTTCCTCCACCTGGCGTCAGCAACCCACTTATCCCCGGCTATGCTCAGGGCCCTGGTTAGGGCTTTTAGTTCGTCTTAGGGGGAGGTAGTGCCCTCGGGCAGGGGGCGGAGGCGCCAGCAGGGAGGGGGAGCAAACTACCAGATGCCTTTTCGCCCTAGTGACTCTGGCCCCCGCCAGACCTGTCAATCAGAACAGCCCCTCTCAGGTGATGTTTCAGGTATTCTTCACGCCCATGCCCTAGAACCTACCAACTTCCCGGGGATCTTGACCCTGGTCCATCTGATGAGAATAATGTCCGGCACCCCTTTGGGCTACCTCAGGGCAGGAATCTCAGTTCAAAGCAAACAAATCTTTAGTCATAGAGTGTATACATGCCGCCTATATTAGGCGTGTATGTGCAGATTCCTATACTAGATATGGTGCCCTTTCCTTCCTCCCTAGCCCCCAATCCTTTCCCCGCTGTTACTTATGACCCTTATATCTATAAGGCTTGTTTAAGATTAAAGAAAACTTACGAGGTGAAAAAGGATGTCTCATTCTAAAGCCGGAGAGTTATTGTATCATTGCTAGTCTTGATTTTGGGGAAAAAAGCAGACCTTTAGGGCCAAGGTGAGTGTAATTGCAACAGGGTGGTCCCCAGGAAAGGGGGAGGTTCCCTGCCCCACCCAAGGGAGGGTGGAGCTGAGCAGGAAGGGGAGAAGCTGAAGAAGAGACTAAGGAAGGAAGCAGGATGGAGCCAGGAGACCTGGAGGAGGCGCATGGAGCCTAGAGACACGTAAAGAAACTGCGCTTGTCTTTTGGTCGTGGACTGGGTGACACAGATGTGGGTGAGACCCGTGGGGAGGTGACCATGGCAGCTTTTATCTTGATGTTGATTTTGCTCTTTTCCTTCCGGGCTTGTCTGGTTGTTTCTGACCCTTTTCTGTGGGTCCCCACTGGAAGATGCTTTAGACTCGTGGCAGGCTTTGGGGCCTTGCTCTGGGCCAATCCCATTTGGATGGACTTTTACCCACGAGGGGACGGGTAACTTTGGGTGCTTCATTGAGAAACTAGACTCTGCCTTACCTGTATTGTTTCCTAGTTTTATTAAAGTGCCTTCCCCTTAAAGTCTCCTATGTTTTGTGTTGATGCGGCGGATGGCAGAACCCATTTAGAATAGGCAGGTTTGTGGGGTTTGGGCTGCCCCTCTCCCTGTCCTATAACATAATGAGTAATTTTAGAGGTCAGAGCGTGTGAGGTCTTGAAACCTGACAACTGATTTGGGACTTTTGCGTGGGCAGGCAACAAAGAGTAGGGTAGTGGTTCCAAAATTGGCTCTCCAAAGTCAGTAGCGCTACTTTGTAAAATTTCCACTTTCCAGGGTTTCTCCTCTACCTTTCGTCAACATCAGAGATTCAATTTTAGTATACCATGAGTCATCTATTACTTTAAAGATTCCTTCTAGTCAATTCTGTGTACACCCCAGATGTGAGAGCCATTGGTGTTTCCAAC